ATGTGTGTGAAAGGGTGAATGTGGCATGTAGTGTAAAAGCGCTTTGAGTGGTCAGAAGACTAGAAAGCATATACAAGTACAGGTCCATTTACCATTTGGTTTGTCTGTTCTGGGCTGCTGTAGAAACATGGTGGTTCAACATGGCAGCCTTTGTGGAAGACACTATGTTATGTCTGTAGATATAAAAGGCTCATTCTAAGGTAACAAAAACACGTTTCTCATTTTCAGGTGATTAAAGATTAATGAAAACATACCTACATACCTTATTGCTTAAAAACACAAACAAGGGAAGAAACTATTCTTTCTTTCTCATTAAATGTTTATTTGTTTGCATAAGTTATCCCTCACTGCCCACACATCCACACTTCCCCAAGGCTTTACTTATGACTTAAAGCCAGATAATCACCTGCTTTTTGCTTTCGTCAGAAGTCATTACAGATGGAGTCATGGGAGGATCCTCTGTTTCAGAACAGGAGTGCTACACTTCTCAAAGAAGCTTTATAATGAGACAAACTCCTGTTGTCTTACTGACACTCTTGATGCATTTCAGTGGTCTGGCATGTGACTGCTGACAGTAAACACATGCAAATTATAAAGTTAAGGGGAGTCTTTGTTCCACCACCACGAGAAAGTTATAGTTTATCGCATATGTTCTTATTGCACATATTCAGTTGAGCTTTGTTATAATACGAAATCCTGGGGTCAGAATCTAAACAGAAATATAAAAATATCACATAAAATATTTATGCAGTATGCAGTCAATTTAGTTTATACTATTCAGATGAATCAAATTCACTTTTTTGGGGTCATTATATTACTGAAGAAGTTATTTTGAAGTTTAACATCAATGTCCAAGCCTGGAATGCCTTTAAAGTGGTAAAGTATCAGAGAAACATGAGTCAGACATAAACACAGGCCCACAAGAAAACTCGTGTGTGACCACTGAGTCTTTTACACAACGGGTCGTGTGAGGTTCACTGCACTCAACAGGATTACTGCGCAGAATTCTTGGAGCAAGTCAAATGGAATGTCTCTATAGAAATTATTTCACATTTATTTCAGCAATCAGTCTGCGAGCGTGAAAGTGAGAGGAAATTGAATGATCAGGCCTAAGATGTTTGTGATTCTAATGAATTTACTTTACTTGATTGTTGTTCATCACAGTCATGGGTCGTCATGTGAAGGAAAAAATGATGTTTTGCAGGCAAAAAGCAGAATCCATTTCAATGCAGTACACAAACTTAAATCAAATTAACGGTAAGATCAAATCAAATGTTATCAAATCAAAAAACATACCTACTTAAAGGTTTAACAAACTTTTTTGAAAAAGTGAAAAAGAAATACAAGTAAATGTGCACAGACATGAATGAACTTTTTACACAAACTCACACAGTTGCTTATAAATACAAACATACTTAAGGCCAGAAGTCCTTAGATTTAAGATTCATTACTTTAATTTGAAGATTTTCATGCTTATACAGTTGATTAATTTAGTGAATTAAGTATTTACAGCTGAATTTTCTTTTTGCTTCTTGTCTGCTTTTAAAAATGCTAAAAACCAAAACAGTAAATCAACATAACCCTCTAACTTTACTGAGTAGCAACAAACATACTAATAAACGCTGGATTAGTAACATTCAAAAATATACCATCTCTAAATGTTTTAAGCTCTATGTGTTTTTATTCAGTTGTTTCTATATATTCTATATAATATATCTATATAGTATATATATATATATATATATATATATATTGCAGTTCACATGAAGGTTATATATTTAAAATGGTAATAATTCCAATAACACTGAATTGAATCGGTCATCTGACCATTAATAAAACTGCAGTGTGTAAATATCAACGTAATGTTAAATTCTCTGAACAAAATAATTATTCTTCTTCTTTCACATATTCTGTTTCCATTATTTCAACTGGCTACTGGAAATTTCTTTAACACAACACTGACTTCTTTTAAATGTGTAAATAAACAGAATCCATTATTCCTACTGAAACACAGGATGGTGCCAGAGAGCCGTGGAGAAACAAGCTATGTATGTATAATGGCATGCACAAAACGTCTGTGCGAGTGAAAAATATTTTTAGTAAAAGGATTGTGGGTCTTTATAATTTTAAAAAATATCTGTCTGCTGATCAGTTTAGGAGAGTAACAGCCAACATATTTCTATGATTATCTAAGGGTAAATTGTGAATACATGTAGGAAATGTATGACACAAAACAACACAATAACACATT